GGCATCTTCTGGCTCAGAGCCGAGGAGCGCACCACCAGCATCATCGCCACCCACGGCTTCCCAGCGTGGAGGAAAAAGTGCCTGTGATCAGACCCAGGAGGAGATCTAGCTGCGTGTCCTTAGGGGAGACTTCGGCCAGCTACTATGGCAGCTGCAAAATGTTCAGGAGACCCTCGTTGCCTTGCATTTCCAGAGAGCAGGTAGGTTTCTCCGAAACTGCAGGGAGAAACTTTCTGAGGAATGAGCGCCGCTCGCTTTTCCTAACCGCTGTGTATGTCTGTGCTGGATGTCTGCTGTCAAACTCCCGTTAGAGGAATGGGGGAAAATGTTAGTCCGTTAGCGGGTTTCTCAGCTCGGTTCTGCAGAATCGGTATAATCCTTTATGTCTCTCCAGAAGCTGAACCTTAATAATGTGTTTGCTGTGGGACGGAAGGCTTGCTCGCTTTTCATACGGTCTTAAATATTAAGAAGTAGTTTTTATTGATTAAAACACACCCCCAAACCAAACATCTTCAGCTATTGCCTACCTTGTTATTTTGATTGTTTCTTTTCCAAAGCCCACCGCCTCCTCCACTTCTGCCAGACTTTTTACAAGAGAAAGAAACCATAGCTTTCTAGCTGCTCGGCACTTCTGGTTCTTCCCGCTTTCTACCGACAAAATGATTGCCAAGTGCTAAAGAAATACGAGGTTTTGAGGGGTATTATTTATCAAATGTCGGCGTTGTTTGAGTGGCAGCTGTCCTTCTGCCTTGCAGATTACGGTCTCTTGTTTCCCTCTCTCCCTCTCGCCCTCTCTTCCTCGCTCCACGTAAGTTAGCATTAGGTTTGGGTTGATGGGATTTAAGAAACTTCTTTTTACTGAAGAGAGAGCTGTTCAGTAGAGTCTGGAGGGATGCCCGAAGCGCTCAGTTTTCTTGAATGGAACTCTGTTGGTTTCTACCTCCCGGAAAACTTTTCAATGAGTCTTGTTTTGTGTAGCGCAAACCCCGTGGGGGTGGGTTTGTTTTTATTTGGGAACTTGCACGTGAACTGCAGGAACGCCGAGTTGTGTTGCCGGTGGAACTGGCCCGAAGCTGCTGCAAGCGGATTATCAGCCCGTTATAGGAGGGAGAATAAGGGGAGCGTATTTGATAAGCGTGCGAGTGAACAGTTTCTGGGAAGTGATTGTTGCTGCAGAATCCCTAATCTGCTACTGTTGTGGCTGAAATTCATGCATGCTAAATGAAAGTTTCTAATTTTTCTTTGACGTGTACTCTTGTGATGGACTGTGAAATAGGTCTGAGGAAATACGAGGTGAATCTGAAACGGTGGAGTAGGTTTTGAGCATTTTTCGCCCTGTGTTTGCACAATAGAATAATACAGGGGTAATTTTTTTTGCATAAAAGGTTACAATGGAAGTATGCTGTAAGAGGCTTCAGATGTAACTCATTCAATAAGTTTCAAATTATCTAATGCATACTGTGAAAGAAACATTAAAATATTGTACTAGCAGTTAAGATATGTAGGCAATATTGTATAATAATTTACTTTCTCTGTTCCCTTCCGGATAGTAAATGCTCTCTTTTTTTCTGCCACATTTGTCTGCAGTACAAAAACCTCGGAAAATGTGGCTTCATTAGCCTTTCTAGATGATAGAAGATACTTGTTCTAATGCAAGTTACTAAATGCTTCCTTTGATATTCGGCTCACTTCCTAAAGGCATGCGCATATTTCAAGTTAAGGCATTTATTATTCTTTAAGTAACATAATAAATGTCAACCATAACTAAATACGTAGAATTTATTGGCAGTACTTAAATCATACGTGTTCATAATAAAATGTAACTGTTTGGTAGACTTCCAGAATTTGGTATCTTTGTTATCACTAGAAGTGAACAGAAACAACAGAGAGGTCTGAAGTTTGTTATTTTCCTAATAGTCTATTATGCTTTACAATAAATATTTGTGCTTTATTAAGCACAGTTTAAATGGGATTCATAGATACATGTTCTGTGCAGTATTTTATGTGTGATTTTACAAGGATAACACAGGTTAAATCCTCTGATCTCCTGACTGGCTTGGAGAGAGATCAGACATTGCAGAGCTGATAAAACATGAACTGCGGGGGCTGCGGGGGTGGGGGGGGGGGGGGAGGGCGGGGAGAAGTATGCCCATAATGTGTGACTTTATTTGAATAAACACTACAAGGTTTTTATATTGCTTCCTTGAAACACAAGGAAGCTGTGCACTTAATGCTTTTCAGAGAGCATTTATTATGTGAATTTTCTTTAAGAACTGATCGCATGTTTTGCAGATCTTTATAAAATATTACAATAATTCTTTTCCAATATTAATATTTTAAGAGTGAGTTTAATGAGCATTGTTAGGAAGATCAGTGGAGTACAAGGAATGTGCTGCAGGTATACTACGACAGGAATACTTTGATGAATGAGAACTAAGTTGCTAATGTGCTTCTGTTAGATGTATTTTGTATGACTGTTATGAACCTCTTGTATATAGAGGTTTGTATGAACGTCTGCAAGCAGGGGCACATAAGAATAAAAAAGGCAGATGTATCGAATCATAGAATACCAGGTTGGAAGGGACCTCGAGGATCATCTGGTAGAACCTTTCTTGGCAAAAGCACGGTCTAGACGAGATGGCCCAGCACCCTGTCCACCTGAATCTTAAAAGGGTCCAATGTTGGGGAATCCACTGCTTCCCCAGGGAGATTATTCCAATGGATGATCGTTCTCACTGTGAAAAATTTTCCTCTTGTGGAGATTTTAGTTAGTCTGTGAGGAAAATAGGTAATGCTAGTATTGACCTTAAGATTTCAGTTACTTGTTGATTTGAAGTTACGCCCAACTCTCTGGCTAGTTAAATACACCAAAAAATAATTATATTGAGTTGACCATTTTTTTCACTAATAAGCTCAAGCAAACAATTCTAAGGGGTCTGTGTGCATGGAGAGCGTGCGGGGGAACAGGTACGTGCCAGCAGTAGCATGTGCACACTGGAATTGGGTGGAGCTATCACTGGTTTCTGGGGTAGAAGTGGAAAGAGGCCCTGTGCACGCGATCCTGTAAATGCTTTCTAATTTGAGCAATCCTGACGACAAATATTTAAATTATTGCTTTCTGTACTTGAACAGGTATGGCAACTATAATGCTGGAAGGTTGATAAAATTGGATTACCTTTATTCTTACCTTTTATATGAGTATCCATGCTTATTTTAGCCACCAAAATCTACAACTTCATGATGTGGGTGGCTTTCCTGCAGTACCTATGGCTAGCGATGTAGTTTGAGGTGGGAGGAAAATCTTGAATTTTTTTTTTAAATCTTTAAATTTTTATGTGAGTATATTTAAATGCCATTATCAAAATGTATAAATACACATAGCAGGAAGCAATATGACTAAAATTAAGGCCAAAAATTATGCAAATGCAATGTCTTTTCTGTATTATTTCTATGTTAACTCTTCTCCAGCATATATGATTTTAGCAGTAAGCAGGCTTTTTGCATTCTTACTTCAGTATTCATCTTGGACCTAGAGAGGAATAGCTTATTAGAGGTATGACTGCAGTATTGATTGCTGTTACAATTTTGTGTAGGTGATGTTTTGATTGCATGTATTAATCAGATGCTAATCTCTTATCTGTACCTAGCGCTACAGGTATCAAAGGGTTTATCTTCATTGACTGTTGCATATTTAGTGCTTAATTATTTTTTTTTTTTGCATGAAAACCAAATCAGAATTGGGAATCTAAAAGGTGATTGTCAGTATTGCAAATCTTTTAAACGCTCCATGTCCTGAAGAATATTGTAGTAAACCATTTTTTTTCTTTAACATGCTGGTGAACATGTATGTGAAAGCAAGTAACTATATGTAGGAACTCGTACACAGGAGCTTCTTGGAATCCAGAAAGAGTATGCGATTTCTAAAATTCATATTTTTCCTTGAATAAAGAATAGGCCTTCCTAATTAAATATACAGGATATGTGTCCAAAACAGTCTGCAAACAGAGCTGATACTTTTCCTAGTTACCTGACTAGGTTCAGCCACGTAGGAAGGCTGGGATATTTCATGGATAAAGACTGCTTTCATGTTGCGCTGTTAATTACAGGAAGAACTGTCTTGTGGTTAGGTTGTTGGATTGACTGCCACCTCTCCCCAGTTTCTGTTCCAAGCTATCTCATACCTTTGATGCATTTCCTTAGGAAGATCAGGACTTGATTTCAAGAGTCTGAAATATTTATGTAACTTGAAATTAATGCAGTTCCTTATTTGCTTAGACAATTTATATATGTGTCTCTTATCTATTTGTGAAACAAATTATACTTTGTCCTTAAGTACTCAGGGTATAAACTTTCTAGTGCAGAAGCTGCCTGCTAATGTGCATTTTACAGTGTCTTAAAATTGTTAAATTCAGATATGCTTGCAGCCTAGAAACATGTGAGCCTTTACCTGTCAATTGCAGCCGGTAACATAAAATGTAACTCTTCTTGCTATGTATCTAATGAACTAGCTCTTTGAAATTTTAAGTTTTCCCCTAATGATTGCAATGACTGTTACCACAAGTGTATCTGCATGTCAAGATTTGTTTCTGTTGGTAACAGAATCTTTATATCTCTTTGGTTTTTATTGTTTGTCTTATGGGGAAAATCAAGGTAGAAATGTGGGTGTGTTGAGCTGTGAATGAAATCAATTTCAATGGGATGTGACTGAGTGTGGGGAATATACCAAAAGAAGGATTACATGGTGAAAGCAACAGTCTTGGAAAACTGTTTTTGCAACCATATTTTGGATGAGTAGGATTATATTGTTTCTGTCTGGTTCTCTCTGACCTTGACAAAATGTTTTGTGCTAGATGAAATGTGAAAACTCTTGGTAACTGTTGCATCCTTTTTTTTTTTTTTTTTTTTTTCCCCCCCTTCCTTTCTTTTTTTCATCCTGAAGTTATATTCTTGAGAATTATACCGCAAAGAAAGGATGATTTGAGCATGGTCTGCCCACAGAGACCTTTAGAGAGGTCAGAGTTTAAGATGGTATCCTCTGGCAAAGCAATCACCAGGACCATACAGTGGTTCACAGAGAATGACGAAGAATGCCATTAGGGAGTCTGAGTGCAGTTAAGAACACTGTTAGCTAAGTTTACCTTGGGCTGGTTTTTAGATATCCAAGACTTGATGGCAGTTTGTGTTCTGGACAGAAAAAGTATGCTAAAAGCAGGGAAACATGTCTATAAGTAGTCAGTGTAGCAAAGGGGGTTGGACTGTTTCTGCAGGCACGGTTTCTCAGAAGGAAAATGTAAAAGGAGAAAGGAAGGAGATTGAAGATGACTGCTGTGGAAATGCTGGAGAAATTTGGAGGAAGGTGAGGGGTGGTGTATTACAGGTGTCACTAGAACGCCGGGATAAAAGAAATGTAGGAATCCGGGAGAGAAGCTTCCAAGAGCTGTGTGATTGATGGTGTCAGAGAAAACTAAGAGGATAAATTCGGATAAAGTACTAATTTTCAGCTTTGACTACGAAGACATTTTAACCTTATGAAAGAAAATTATAGAGATGAGGAACAATAGGTTCCCAGGAGAGTATCTAGAATGGCAGAGAGGACAGCCTCCATGCTGCAGTTCAAGAACAGTATATTCTGTGAGGTTAAATATGAAAGGGAAGAGAATTACAAGGAGTCGGGTATATTCTCCTGAGGAGAAAACTCGTCTTTTGACACAGTGTATGTGTGTACATGTAATATGCCTGGCAGTATCATCCTAATAGTTGAACTTGACTGATTGAACTGATTGAATACTATGGCCTTAGAAGTTTCAAAGATACCAAATTGCAGCAAGTTTTATAAAAAAAGGGGAGTGGGAAGGGAAGAGACCCTATGGAATATGCCCCAACACAGAGTAAGTCTGTAGTGTGAGCTGAACTCCCACATGAGAATCCACATGAGTGTCTCATGTTGTGAGTGAATACAAGAAGGGGGGAGAGGGGCAAGAATTCTGTTAAAGCCTGGGCCTTATTTGACATTTGATAGGAAAGTTTTATATTTCTAAAAAAGCTTTTTCCCTTCTGTTTTGGTTTTCTGATACCTAAAAATGAAAACTTTGTGCAGCCTTACCGTCATTCAGACAAATCTCAGAACAAAGCCAACTGTAACTACCTGGTCTGGTGTTCAGAAACCAGTTGCTGAAGATGGAAGAGAGTAAATCTTGTGCTTTTGTGCAAAGGGCAGGGAAACTGGGAGATGTAGTATGTTCTTATTGGTGATGCAAAAACTTGTGGAGGAATACAGATGAAAAGCTTCTGACTGCCAAATGAGGAGGGAGGGCAGACAACAGGAGGCTACAGCCATAGACTGTTTTGTTGGAATCTCACCCATTTTTCCAGGATAAAACTATGTGGAGAGGGAGCTAAAAGAATAGTTTAAGATGAGAGTGAAAGGAAACGTCGAATTTCAACATGACTTTTTCAGTGGGTGAAAACAATGCTTAGCAAGATGGAGTGAAACAACAGAATAAATTTTAATGGAAAAAAAAATAATGGGACTTTTCTGCAACTCAATAGCAGAACGAAAATTTAAGGTAAAAGTGAGGACTTGGATTAGTCAGGGCAGACTGTGTAATAAGTTAGTGAAGCATAAAAAGGATCAATAACTTTTAAGGATCCAGTGGACGTAAAAGAGTACTAGAGCCTTCCAAACAGACAGGAACCACGGGTGCTAATAAATTAGAGTTCACAGGGTAACAAGTAAACTGACAGATTTGGGAAGGGGAAGTGTGACAGAAACAGATCAGAGTTCTGTCCTTAAGGAAGACCAGTTAAGTGAGTGGTCTTATTGGTGAGTGTGACAAAAATGAAGTGTTCTAGGAACTGGAGATGGCATAACAACGGGTGACTGCTGAGATAGAATTATAGTTTCTGGAGGAGTTTTATATTTGAAAATGGATCATACAGCTTTGGGAAAGGCCGTAATTCATACAAATACAGGCAGCTGGTGACCAGGAGTAAGTTTTGAGGGGTTGGGTCATCCCTACTTTTTCATAGCTTTTGTATGTAGCGTGTTCCTGTAAAACAAGTGCAAATTTACTGGGAGAGGGACAGA